CCAAAGGTTCCTCAGACTGGGTACACCTGGAGTCCAGCCTCTCCAAAGGTTCCTCAGACTGGGTACACCTGGATCAGATGAGCAGCTTCTGGCATGCAACAGAAAAATCTCAATACTGAAGCCCTGACCAACATTTTACCGATGGTGACGTGAGTTTGAGTCGAGGTGGAAGGTTGAGCATCTTCTTCAGGTCCTGCTTCCTGAGGAGAAACACAGAGGGGTTTTGTTTGTTGCAGAACAACAGGGAACTGATCAACGTTGATGACAAAGCTACAACTGAGCTTTTACAAATAAAAAAGGACACTATAAGTGCACTGGCGAAATATTGAATTTCCCCTCGAGAACAAAAATGATCTAAAAGTTGATCAAAATAAAACTCTAGTCAACTTAAAGTAGCACGAGGCTAGCTAAACGTAGCAAAACCTTAACTGATAACAGTACTGGATGTGCACCAGCAGCACCAGAGCAAGTGACTTCAAAAAGATCAACAAGCTCATAAAGAAGGCTGGCTCAGTTCTGGGGATTCCTCTAGAACCTTTGGAGATGATTGTTCAAAGAAGGATTCTTCATCAAATGAAGAACATTATAGACAACCCTCAGCACCCTCTTCATCAGACTGTCATACAACATCACTGTCATACAACAAAAGACTGTCATACAACAGACTGTCATACAACATCACTGTCATACAACAGACTGTCATACAACAGACTGTCATACAACAGACTGTCATACAACATCACTGTCATACAACAAAAGACTGTCATACAACAGACTGTCATACAACAAAAGACTGTCATACAACATTAGACTGTCATACAACAGACTGTCATACAACATTAGACTGTCATACAACAACAGACTGTCATACAACAACAGACTGATACAACAACAGACTGTCATACAACAACAGACTGTCCTACAACAACAGACTGTCCTACAACAACAGACTGTCCTACAACAACAGACTGTCCTACAACAACAGACTGTCATACAACAACAGACTGTCATACAACAACAGACTGTCATACAACAACAGACTGTCATACAACAACAGACTGTCATACGTCAACAGACTGTCATACGTCAACAGACTGTCATACGTCAACAGTGTCATACAACAACAGACTGTCATACAACAACAGACTGTCATACAACAACAGAGTGTCATACAACAACAGACTGTCATACAACAACAGACTGTCATACAAC